TTAGGTTCAATGTTGAACCACAACGTTGGTAGGTTGGCACACAAGAGACTAGGGCATAGGAAGTAATAGGCTTGGTATTATAAATAGACCTTGCCTAAGTCTTATCGACAGCTCTAGCGGGAGTCGAACCGTGACAGTGTAGCATGTGAGCTTTCACACGTTACTCACTCAGCCACATTGCCACGATGGACTTGTGTCACAGGGCAGATTGAATTGCAAGGAAGGCCAAGCCTTATCCGATATCACATTCTTTGGTGGGATTATCTATGAAGCAAACGTATTTTTGCTATAATAATCTACTACATAATTATTTTTCGTATATATAAGCAGAGTTTGGAGACTACCAGTAAATGAGTTATATGAGATTTATTCACCCTATTTCGTTTAAGGTGATGAAGGACTTGTAGTAGAATTATTCCACACTGATATGAGTCCTTCATCACCTTAAACGAAATAGGCTGGATATATCCCATATAACTGATTTACAACTAGTCTCGAAACTCTGCTTATAAGAGTTTTAATAGAGAAGGAGAGAGATAGGAGGGCAATAATTAGTTTGACGTACCAGGACGCAAGGAGATATAGCATGGTTATTCGGCAGAAATTAGGTCAGGCGATAAACTTCACTTGCCGCTCTGGTGAGTTGTGGCTTGGTGTCGGCAAAATGTCTGGAAATATTCCAGGTTCATGGTCCGATGCTGTAAATTTTCATGGCTACCTTGGTAGAGGACTTCGAACAGAGTGTGTTTACCGATGCCATTATAATTTCTTTTATTGGAAATTTATTTTTAGTCATTACTGAAAAGGTTTATACTCTATTTATTTCCCGTAGTCTTGATAACTAATAAATTTTTAATTCTGTGATATGTTGGTGCTTGATCTTCACTTAGAATGCTTGTATATTTTTCGCTATCTCTATTACTTTATTATTACGAGACTTAAATCACATCTTAGTCCCCCATTGTTCTATTACTTGCACCAAGAAGGGCGTTACAGAGGCTGATAGATACCATTTAAAATAAGCAGCTTTTAAGAAATACCGTGTGTGTAAAGCTAACCTTAGCTTCACCACTATTAACTATACTTGATTTTTTACTTCTTTTTTACTTTAAGCTGAGGCATCCTTTTATTTGGCAGGCGAAGTGTTGCGGTTAGATGAGTGTCTTGATTTACCTTAATAGTTAGATCGATTATTTTTACTTTTCGCTTCTCTTTGTATCTTAGTTATTTAAAATTGGTTGTAGTTAATGGACTGACACTTCATGAATTTTTCTTGTATCACTGCATTCTATTGTTTTCCTTGATTATTATGATTTAATATGTTTTTTCTCTTAAAGGCTCTTCGAAGTGCTATCGAATCCTCCTCCCAACTTCAGCTGGTTATTTGCGATGGACCCCCGAGCCTGGTTTCCTGCCTAGCCGGTGTGTATGAGCCCGAACAAACGTACCTTGCTAGTCCCCTGGGCGGCGGAACATCTCCATTTGGCAGACGGCGACTGCGCACAACTGGAAGCTCCGCCTCTGTAATAGGGGGTTATGGCAACAGCGGGGTGGGTAGCACAGGAAGCTTGGCTGTCAGAGATCACTACTATCGTCTTCTAGTGGCAGCCGTCTCAGTGGACCCGAGCGAAGACGAAGCGGGTGACGAGGATGATGTAGAAGAAGAAGACGGTGTAGAAGAGCGGCCTGAAGAGGAGGTCAGAGAGGCGCCGGGGCCGGTTGTTCCTGCTCATGAACTTGTAGGCGGAAACCAAGGTTTAGCAAGGCCTGGGAAACGGAAGGTGGATGGGAGCAAGGACGAAGAAGATGAGATCAATAAAGACAATCTGGGTGTAGTGAGGCGGCGAGGTCAGTTACTAGCAGAGCCTGAAATGGAACAGTGGACGAGTGACACGAGCACGAGGAATTCACCTTTGCAGCACCAGAAAGCCCAAGTGATTAATTATCAATCTGTAGCTAGTTTGGTTGACTTAATCGAAAAATAACCTAATTACGATTATCAAACAGATAAGTGAACGTATTAAGAGCGGCCTTTTTAAAAATGATTTTGATACTTAGCCAGTGGATGAGCGATTCGTCTGATATAGATTTGGGAGTGGATACATGGATAGCTTTGTATGTGTTTAAGCGAATGCGTACCATAGTGGCATATTATATTTGTTAATCTGCTAGTCAATTCACAAAGTTCTGCTAGAGTTTTTTAGGTTTCATTTTCTAAAAGTTCATAATAATATATGTAAAAAGATTTCTCTCAAAAACTATTGATGTGATTATTTTCCTCAACTGGCATGAGTCCACTTCCTCATGCTAAGTATCTCTATTTGATTACAAGTGACCATGCCAATTTTCTCTTATTTTTTAATTGGTTTATCTGCTACTTAGTTCCGGTTTTAAATTGATGGATAAAACTTGCTCATGTAAAAAATTAATACCAACCCAAGAAACTCGTAAGTTTTCATTTCCATCCTTTTTCTCAATGA